GAAGAGATTTTAATAAAGGGACTATTGACTAAAGTTTGGCAAAGTTAGCAAAACCAACAAGAGACAATGCGATACTCTAAGGTGAGCAACAATGGGGAGTTGTTTCTACTCCTGGGCCTGCAAAATCAAAGGAAGGAAATAGTTACAGGAACCTGGTAAATAGATGAATAGAGGGAGCCACCTGACAGAGGCTATGGCCTTCAGGTGAGAGAAGCAACCAATAGAGGATGAGCAGGAGGGAGGGGTGAGCAGATAAGACATACTCCTATCTCCTGTGCTAGTCACACCTCCAACCTCTAATGGACTAAATCCATCTAGATGCCAGACAGCAAGGATCTACTGATGCAGTCACACAGGTCAGCCTCCAGGGACACGCAACAGGTGGAGAAGGGTGGGGAATTAATCTAGAGGGGCAAATAGACCCTATCCAGGACCCTAAGATGAATGTGAAGCAAACTGCAAATAACAGAGAAAGGACAACAAATAAATAGTTGATCAGAGAAAAAGGTATTTGTATAAAATTAATGGGTGGGAGGGACGGTGAAGATGGCAGAATGGGGTAGAAGATCATTAAAATCACACTAAGAAGTCCCCCATTAATTTAGTGGGTAACAGGCAACCACTAAAGACACAGATGAAGGAGAGTAAATAATTTGAGGATAATAATATATACAGTCCGATTGAAAACAGAGTCATTGGTAGCAGAGGTCAGTCAAGTTATACCAGCAGTCTAGGTATTAAGGAGAGAGTAAGAAATAAACATTAATATGAGTTGTGTTCTGGGTAACTCAAAAGTACTACCCATTAAATCCTCTCCATTTTAAACAGAAAATTGAGCCTCAGAAAAGTAACATGCTGACAGACACAAACAACTCGTTAAATGCTAAAGACAACATTATATCACTAACTTATGCTGTCTACATGAAGTATTGGCAGCAGAAATAGAAAGTAAAGAACAGAAGTTCACAGAGAGGCCTCATTCCCTATTAACCAGTAGATCTCAGATGAGTCATCTAATCTCTGCCTACCTCAGCTTCCTCATCTGAAAACTAAGGACACCTACAAAATTATTTCTTCCATATCTGAAATTGTTTCGTTGCATTACTAAGACTTAATTCGCCAGCCTTCCTACCCTCAAACCAAACCTGCCAATGAACATCCCCATCAATTTCATCTTCAACTCAACTCTTGCTGTTGATTCTTACAATTGAATCAAATGCAATCTCTCCAATAAATCCACTCAAGCCCAAACTCCTCAGTGAGAAGCCATCCCTAATTAACCCAACTATGGAGATCAGAAGCCTTCTGTGATATTGTGATAGAATAATATATGTATGGTCTTCACCCATGATAGAGTTCCAAAAACTCATAATTTCCTGAGTGACAGGAGCGACTAGAGCATTTTTTGTTATTCATAATAAGCCCCTTTCTGAATTTATGCTAATTAGTTTATGCTAAACATATGAGCTTATGCTAATGAGGACATTCTTGAAGGGTGGGTGTGGTGACCATAGGAGCCAATCATGTTTAGGAGCTTGGAACTTTCAGCCACACAGACCCTACCTCCAGAGAGGGGAGAGGGGCTGGACATTAAACTCAATCACCAAAGGGCAATGATTTAGTCAATCATGTCTATGTAATATAGCTTCCAGAAAAAAAAAAAATGATGGGGTTTGGAGAGCTTCCAAGTTGGTAAAAGCATTGGGGTGCTGGGAGAGTGGTGCACCCAGAGAGCATAGAAGCTCTGTATTCCTTCCACACACCCTGCCCTATGCATTTCTTCATTTGGATGTTCGTGATTTGTCTCTTTTATAATAAACCAGTAATAGTAAGTAAAGGGCTTTCCTAAGTTCTCTGAGCTGTTCTAGCAAATTATCAAATCTAAGGAGGGGGTCATAGAAACCCGATTTATAATTGGTCTGTCAGAAGTATAGGTGACAATCTAGACTTGCGATTGCCCACTGAAGGTGTGGGCAGTCTTGTAAGACGGAGGCCTTAGCCTATGACATCTGCCCTAACTCTGGGTAGCTAGTGTAAGAACTGCTTAGTGTAGAAAATGTATACATTTGGTGTCAGAATTGTTGTGAGTATTAAAAAACATAGTTAACCTTTACCTTCTATGATTTCCTATAGCAATTATATCTCTGCAAGCCATTTGGCAGCCTCCTGAGCACAATGTTATTTACTATTCATTGTTTTTTAACAGACTATTTTCTATAGCAGCTTTAGGTTTACAACGAAAATGAGCAGAAAATAAGAGTTCCCATACACCCCTTTCCCTCCAGCACACACACACAGCCCACCCATTATCAACATCCCTCACCAGAGTGGTATATTTGTTATAATCTGAATAAAACTGCTGTAAACATCTGTGTGCAGGTTTTTGTGTGGACATAAGTTTTCAACTTCTTTGGATAAATACCAAGGAGTATAACTGCTGGATCACATGGAAAGAGTATGTTTAGTTTTGTAAGAAACTGCCAAATGTTTTGTATTCCTAACAGCAATGAATGAGAGTCCCTGTTGCTCCACATTCTCGTCAGCATTTGGTGTTGTCAGTGTTTCAGATTTTGGCCGTTCTAATATGTGGGCAGTGGTAGCTCATTGTTGTTTCAATTTACAACTGACTAATGGCATATATTTATCATCTTTTCATATGCTTATTCACCATTTGTATATATACTTTTGTGAAGTTTCTATTCAGGTTGTTAGCCCATTTTAAAAATCAGGTTGCTTATTTTGTTATTGAACATTAAAAGTTCTTGAATATTTGGGGTAAGAATACTTTATCAGATATGTCTTTTCCAAATATATTTCTCACAGTCTGTGGCTTGTCTTCTCATTCTCTTAACAGTGTCTTTTGCACAGAAGTTTTTAATTTTAATGAAGTCTAGCTTATCAATTATTTCTTTCATGGATCATGCCTTGAGTGTTGGATCTAAAAAGTCACTGTGTAGATTTTCTCCTGTGTTACCTTCATTACCATTAACTACTTTAACAAATTACTGAGTGGACAGTATGTGCCTACTACTCAAACGGAGGATAAATAAGGCAACAACATGCTCAGATACCCCGAAGCCCTCCTTTAACAAGCTGATCAAGTATAAAGCAGTGACTCTCAGTTGGAAGAGAGCAGAGACATCACAGCACCATAGAGCCAGGAATGATTCAAATCCTAACTCTGCCACTTACCAGCCATGTGGCCTGTGTCTCAGATTTTTTATCTGAAAAATGAGAATGATATTTATACCCACCTCACTTCACAGGACTTCTGTGAAGATAAAATGATTTAATGCATGTGAAGTGCTTAGCACAGTGCCTGTGACACTCTAAGTGCTCAATACATGATAGTACTTCTGAATTCTCCAAGAAAGAGTTGAGGTACAGTTTAAAGAAAACATTCAAATTACCACTGCTAAAAATCTGTGATCATGATATTTCATTTTATTTTGGAATTTCAAGAAAAGATTAAGTTATGGCCTCATTATCATATTCTGTGGTTATCAATCTCTTAATAAATCAAAGATTCAAAATTAATAAGCATTATTCACAGCATGTGGAAGGTAGCAGATAAATGCCAGCAGAAAAAAAAAATGTGGTTTTAAAAAATTTCAATTTGAGGAAAGTAATATATTTGGTTGTTGTTGTTTTTAAGTAAATTTCTCATTACAAGAAGATAGTTAAATTTAAGTGAGACCTTTAATTCATTTAACTTAATATTTCAATATCATATTATTAGTTTAATTTGTGCTAATCTAACCACGGAAAAAGAAGTTACAAATATTTATGAATTAAACTACAGAATTAAGAATGGCTTATTTCTCAGTGACACAAATAAAAATCTGTTTCAAAGAACATTGACTGATGAAATAAGCAAAGAATAATTCTATTTTCTAGTGAAACTACAAAAATTACACTCTAGGAAACCAAAACACTAATTTGAAGGAATATATGCTCCCCTATGTTGTAGTGTTATTTACAATGGCCAAGATTTGGAAGTAGCCCAAGTGTCCATAAGTAGATGACTGAATAAAAGAGCTGTTGCACATAGAATACTACTCTGTCATAAAAAAGAAGAAAATCTTACCCTTTGCAAAAGAATGGATGGACCTGGAGATTATTATACTAAGTGAAATAATCCAGCCAGAGAAAAGGCAAATATACATGATGTCACTTAAAAAGTAACAAACAAAAGAGAAACAGACCCATAGGCAGAGAACAGGCTGACAGCTACCAGAGAGGAGTGGGGAGGGGTGCTGGGTGAAAGGGGTGAAGGGATTAAGCAAAAGCAAAAAAAAAATAAAAAAATAACAACACATAGATACAGATAACGGTATGGTGATTACCAGAGGAAAAGGGGGTTGGAGGGATAGAAAAGGATAAAGGGGAAATAAACAGAGATGTAAGGAGACTTGGCTTGGGGTGGTGAACATACGATATACAGATGATGTGTTATAGAATTATACACTTGAAACCTATATAATTTTATTAACCAATGTCACCCCAATAAATTCAATTAAAAATAAAAATACAGAAACTAAAAGAACTATGAACTAACTCCCTGATAAACTAATCAAATATATGCCTCTTTTATGGGGTCAGTCAATGCATGAAACAGTCGGGGACAAAATTTTATCTAAAACAAAAATTTTCACAAAGATGCTCAATAAATATTAACTAAGTAGTATTTTTATAAATATATACCTCGGATGCTGTAAAGCCTCAAAAATCATTGCAAGACCTGCGATGAAGCAACAGGAGACTGCTATGGTGGATGACTCTTTTTTATAATATGTCCAAGAAGAGAATAGTAAACTATAAAGAAATAGCTAAGAAGATGGAAACCATGGAAGATGGTGACTGGCCCTCCTTCTTGGAACAAGCTGAGAGGAACGGGGCTCGTTATCCGTCCCCTGTCTCTGCACCCCGTCCAAGTTAACCTCTGTCAGGCAGTTTTATATACAAAATATACCTCTGCTTATCTTTCTTTCAAGAATTACCTTTAATTGTTTCCTCCACAACTTCTACTACACGATCTATCTGTTGAACCTAGAAAGAAAACAAACTGTTAGACAAGGAGCTTACCCAAAGAAGAAATATTAATTTGTTTATCCTTCCACTTGAGTCAATGCTACACATTTTCTAAGCCCACGAATGCAGGTTTTCTTTAATTAATGCATTTGACAGTATTATAAAAAATATTCTATATTGAGATTTTGTTATAATGAAATATGAAATTATCACTCTCCTGTCCTCTAATGACAATTAAAGAAATCATATTACATTTAAATAAACTTCCTGGAGTTGTTAGAAGAGCTTATCAACATAAACTCAAAAAGTCCTGAGATATAAACTAAAGTTTAATTAAAACATGTCTCTTCACACAGAGCTTCAAAAACAATGACAACCTACACAAAAGGGCATGCTGATATTAAGAGGATCGACCCCAAATTCTCTGTTTTATTAGTTTAACACTGAAACCCCTTTTAATGAATTTCTATCCTGTGCTGGGTACTGTGCTCAAGCCCATGGACTACAAAGTCAAATAATAACAGCTCCTGCCCTAGACATGAGTGACTAAGAAAGATTTCCCAGGGCATCAGGAGATCACAGAGGAAAGGTAATAAAATCTGACTGAGTGACCCAGGAATGCTTCTTGAGGATAAGCAGGATTAGATTAGAAGAGGCCCACTAGGGAAACTGAGTTAGAGTGGCTGGAGTTTAGACGGAAAATGGAAAAAGCAAAGATTGTAGTCCAAGAAGCTAAAGGAATAGAGAAAGTTAACTTAGATCATAAGTGATATCCAGTTAATTGTTTTATTACAAAAGAAATTTGTTCACTGAACAAATTCAAACAAAACAGAAATATAAAGCAGAAATAAAGTAACCCATAACATCCTCCATGCTCCATTTCCACTCCTCAGATGAATCACTCATAATTATCTGATGAGTAGATACCAAGACATTTCCAAATGCTAAACATTTATATACAGGGCAGATAAGAGTTAATTATTGTATTATTATTTATTAATGATTATATTACTTTCCATATGAATAGACCTGTCCTTGATTTGTCTTACATTTGCCTCACCCTTTATACAGTAGCCCCCTTTATCCATGAGATATATGTTCCAAGACCACCCCCAATGGGTACCTGAAATCAAAGATAGTAACAAATTCCGTATATATTGCCTTTTCCTATACACATATACCTATAATAAAGTTTAAATTATAAATTAGAGACAGTAAGAGATTAACAACAGTAACCAATAATAAGTGGCTAGAGGGTGGGTGGCATATACAGCATGAATACTATGGACAAAGGGATGATTCACATCCCAGAGGGCACAGAGTAGAACAGCGCAGGACGGCATGAGATTTATTCAAGAACCACACAATTTACAACTTAAGAGTTGTTTATTTCTGGAAATTTCTATTTAATGTTCAGTGTTTAACCATAGGTAACTGAAACTGCAGAAAGCAAAACCATGCATAAAGGGGTCTAATCTATAATAATAAAAGCATAATATGCTAATTAGACCAGACGTCCTTCTGGACACCTTCCGGACGAAGCCGTAGCTGCAAGGGAAGCCCGGGTACCAGGTGCCTGCTGGTGGCCAGACGGAAGCCTGGGTCCCAGGTGCTGGAGGGAAGACGGTGCCAGCAGCCAGGGTAAGGAAGGCCTACTCTTGCAAGAATTTCATGCATCGGGCCTCTAGTATAATTATCCTATATAATAAAAGCCTAATATGCTAAGTGTCCGACCTTTCGCTATGACGCACACACTGACCACCAAGGGGTGGATGCTCAACACAGGAGCTGCCCCCTGGTGGTCAGTGCACTCCCACAGGGGGAGCGCAGCTCAGCCAGAAGCCAGGGTTCATGGCTGTTGAGCGCAGCAGCGGTGGTGGGAGCCTCTCCCACCTCCGTGGTAGCCCTAAGGATGTCCAACTGACGGACATTCCCCGAGTTCTCCCGGACTGCAACAGGGTGCAGGCCAGGTTTAGGGACCCCCACATCCCGCTCCCCCTGAGTGCATGAATTTCGTGAACCGGGCCTCTAGTATTCTATAGTTTTTTCTTCTTTTTTTTTAGTTATGAGACATAGATATATGACATATAAAGTAGACCTGTCCTTGATTTGTTTTCTATACATCATCAGTATATAGGCCTACTTCATTCATTTTACTAGCTCCCAGAGTCTCCTGTATAGATATACCATAACAAACATTAATCTCATTGCATTAATGGGCCTTTATGTTATTTCTAATCTTCACTATACAACAATGCTGCAATGACCTCAACTGAGACCCAAAAAATAACCTTTAAAAAAAAAACCTTTACTAAAAATGCAATGGCAAAACTCTTTAAAATATTCCTTTGCCTTAGTGCAGCGGTTCTCAACCTATGGGTCACGACCTCTTTGGCGGTCGAACGACCCTTTCACAGGGGTCGCTAAGACCATCCCTGCATATCAGATATTTACATTACGATTCATAACAGTATCAGCAGATTCTCAAATGGTTAAACGTAAAGTTACCATATGATCCAGTAATTCCAATCCTAGATACACATCCAAGAGAAATGAAAACATATTTCCACACAAAAACTTGTAGACAAATGTTCATAGCAGTATTATTCCTAACAGCAACAACCAAAAGTCCCATCAACTGACAGATACAAGTGGTATATAAATACAATGAAATATCATTAAACCATAAAAGAGAAAGAAGTATTAATATATGCTAAAATATTATGGTAAGTAAAAGAAGCCAGACTAAAAAAGTCAAATATTAAATTATTCTATGTATATGAAATGGCCAGAATAGAAAAATCTTCAGAAACAAAGTAGATTAGTAATTGCCTATGGATAGGTGGTGAAAGAAATGGAAGAAACTGCTAAGGAGTATAGAGTTTCCTTTGGAGTGATGGAATATATTCTAGAATTGATGGTGGTGACTGTGACTGTACTAAAAAACACTGAATTAAGCATTTGAAATGGTAAAATTGTATGGTGTGTGAATTATATTAGCAAAAAACTAAAAAGCTGTTATTTACCAAAAAAGTGTTGAGGGTAGTCAAATGTTGCAATGTAAAGGTCATGAAACTCAATGGAAAACTAAGGAAATGTTCCAAATCAAAGGAGTCTAAAGAGACCTGACAGCTGAATGCAGCTTTGGATCTGGATTCTTTTCCTATTAAGGACATTATTGGGACAACTGCAAGATATGAATATGGTCCCTCCCTCCTCTTCTCTAAGCATGTACTTCTCGGGTGAGGATACAAAAGAAAAAGAATCAGAAAAATGTGTATATATAAAAAGAGAATTACCAAATTTGTTAAAAATTAACATTTGGGGAATCTGAATAATGAGTAGTATATGGTAATTATTTTTGCAGATTTTCTGTGAATATAAAATTACGTCAAAATAAAAAAAGTTTTTAAGTGAAATACATGTGCATGTCTAACAGAGATTGTCTTTCACTCGGATGGTCTCATAGAATTTGCATGAATGTATACAGCTCAAAATAGAACCTCTGATTTATACCAGTAAAAGTAATTGATTACATTTGCCTTTGTGGCAGAAAAATAAATACTGGCCACACGTGATTATTTAATCACTGGGTGATATGAGGAAGCTCTAAAACAGTGGTTCTCAACCTTCCTAATGCCACGACCCTTTAATATAGTTCCTCATGTCGTGGTGAGCCCCAACCATAAAATTATTTTCGTTGCTACTTCATAACTGTAATTTTGCTACTGTGATGAATCGTAATGTAAATATCTGATATGCAGGATGTATTTTCATTGTTACAAATTGAACATAATTAAAGCATAGTGATTAATCACAAAAACAATAAGTAATTATATATGTGTTTTCCAATGGTCTTAGGCGACCCCTGTGAAAGAGTCGTTTGACCCCCAAAGGGGTCGCGACCCACAGGTTGAGAACTGCTGCTCTAAAACTTTAAAAATAAGGGTCTACCAAATTTGAAGCAAAATATTTTAAAGTATTTGATTACAAACAAGCATTTTCTGAAAATATTGTGTTATTTCCATTTTTGTAAGGATGAAATTGGAGGAATGGATGATAGGGAGGAAAAAAAGGTGAGACAGAAAAGACAGAGAAGAGTGGGAGTTAAATGGAAAAGGGAGAAGTTAGGAACCAAAATAAAAAGCATGGGATGAGAGACAAGTAGAGAAGATAAAACAATCATGAGAGAAAGAATAAACTCCAGATTCACATACAGTAAAGAAGAATACATTGAATACTTTCTGGGAATAACAGAAAAGCTGTTCTTAATTAATACTATAAATTGTAGTCCTCAATACACAAGAGCTTAGTCTCTGGCATATAATTCAAATAAAATAAATAAAACAGTATCTTGTGTCCTCCAGGCACTTAGTTATAAATATACAGAAAAAAAAAGACATGCAGTATGTTCTATTACTGACTCCATATGTTCTCCACAATGAAAAAAGGAGTTGGTGAATAAACAATTCATGAATAATATTAATGAGTCATTCTGCTGTAGAACTTTTAAAAGAAATCCATAAAAATATTTTATTCAGCTATTATGAACCACTCCACATTTATAACTAAACATATATTGAAGAAACAAACCTATAGAAAGTCATCTAAAGCAAATAAAGGTGCTATTCAGAAATTCCCTATTGTTTAGAGCAGTGCTATCAAAAAGAATTTTCTACGGTGATGGAAATGATTATATGCTGTGTGTTGTCCAACATGGTAGCCACACTGACTGGGTATTTGAAATGTGGCTACTGTGACTGAGGAACTAAATTTTAACTTTAATTAATTTAAATAATCATGTGTGGCTACTGACAACCACACTGGAAAGTGGAGTTCTGGAGTATGGCTAAATTGGCCCCCAGTTTGTGGTAATTTGTTATGGCAGCCCTAGGAAGTAATACATATCCTAAGAACAATTTTGCCATGTTGGCTAAAAAAAAGGTCAGTCAGGGAGCAAACTGATACTATTCTGCAGAGGTTCTGCTTTAGTATACTAGTATACTTGAAGTATCTTT